GAATATTAAGTGTTCACGGGTATTGCTGACAAGAGAGCTTGATCTGAAGCTTACTATCTCTGAAGGCAAACTATTAGGCTCATTAATCAACCTAAATGTGCAATATGGCAATTGATAATGCACACGGAGATCTAGTGCATTAAGATAAAGAAGAAACTTCTTATATGCTGAAACAGTTGCCCCTGAAAGTTTTAACTGGTGCACTTTGTTAAATTAATCATTTTTGAAGATTGCATTAGATTCCAGTAAATATTTGAAGACATCAAAAAATGGGAGAGTTTCCCAACTTGTTTGAGACAGAGGCGAAGTAGTAGTAGTTGTTGATACCAGGGGAGAGATGTAATGCTCATAATTTTTTATTTTTTTACATCAATACCACCTTTATTCTAGCCTAATATTTGTTATTCTATAATCAAGCAAAAGCAATATGTATGCTGGTGATTAAGACGCCTGTGGAACTGCAGGTTGAAAGTGTGAAGGAAAATCAAATTCAGCTTGAGAAGAAAACGGTAGGAATGCGGGTCGAGGAAATGATAGTTCCAGCAGATGTTGAAGAGATTAAACTTCCAGAGATTACTTCTGTAAAGCAAGTTCAGACAGAGTGGACTTGTGCAGTATGCCAAGTGACAACCACCTCAGAGCATAACTTGAAATCCCATCTTAACGGAGGGAAACATAAGGCAAAGTGTGAAGAGCTGAAAACTTGCAAGCAAGTGGCCAAAAGTGAAGGAATCTCACCTGTTACAACAAAGTCAAGTCAGCTTAATCAGGCGCAAGTAAAACATGCTGCTGCAGCACAATCAGAGCACAGTACTAATGAAGCAGCTGAGCCCAAACAGGTTATTAATTTTTTAACCCTAGAACTTCCTTGGTCTTTCTAGGGATACTAAGTATTGCTCCGGATGCAATTGTCGAGCAAACAATAGATGAAGATACTCCATCATTCGAAAAAGAATGATACTATTTCCTTGTTAGTCGTTCCAAAAAGAATGGGGCAGCCCGGGGCACGAAGCATCCCGTGTTTATGCAAGGTCCGGGTTTGGGCGTGTGATGTAGGCAACCTACCGTGATACAAGTAGCTGATTCCACAGTTCCAAAAAGAATGATACCTTCTAAATTTGAAAATAATTTCTATTTATGTTTCCCATTTTACCATCAAATTAACATTTGCCACACAAATGTTATAGCATTGTTTAAGACCATAATTTCAAAAGTTTTATAAATGTTATGACATATTTAATACCACAAGCTTTAAAAGTTGTACTTTCCTTCTTAAACCTCGTGCCTAATCAAACCTTAGTTTCTCCTATTACCACCTTTATTCTAGCCTAGCATTTATTTTTCTATGATAAAGCTAAAGTAATCCGTAGCCAGTGATTAAAATATTCCCTGTGGAACTGCAGGTTAAAAGTGTGAAGGAAAAACTAGTTCAGATCAAGGAAACAGCGTTTCCAGCAGATAATACCAAAGAGATTAAACTCCGGGAGACTAATTCTTTAAAGAACGTTCAGAAAGAGTGGACTTGTGCAGTATGTCAAGTGACAACCACCTCTGAGCATGACTTGAAGTGCCATCTTCTAGGAAGGAAACATAGGGAAAAGTGTGAAGAGCTGAAAGCTTGCAAGAAAAAGGCCAAAACTGAAAGAAATCCACCAGACCAGCTTAAGAAGGAGCAAGTAAAGCATGCACACTCCGCACAAATAACGCGCAGTGCTTATGAAAAGCCAAAAGAAAAGGTCCAACTAGGAGCTACTCGACAACATGAAAAGCAGAAGCAAGTGAAGAATGCTGTTGGTGTTACTAATAATTCTAAGCTGTGGTGTCGTTTTTGTAACGTTAGGTGCCCTGGCGAGATTGATATGGCTGCGCATCTTAAAGGAAGGAAGCACTTGGCTAAACTTCAAGAAACAATGGTTTAGTTTAGGGTATGTACTGTTGAAGCATGCAACTTTGTTCTATTATTAATACTAAAGGTTAGTTGCTTAATCACTGGGAAGAAAAAAGAGGAAAATTTTATGTCAAAAGGTGTGATATCATTCTGTTTATAATCAGTTGGTGTGAGCAATTAGAGCTTCTAACATATGTAGCCTTTTGTGATTTGCATATCCCCCGTGTTCCCTTGATGCATTTTCATTTAGAGATACTTGAATTGTATGTTTCCTATTTTGCCCTCATATGTAATTAAAAAGGGACCATTTTCATGATTTTGCAATGATATAAAGAGGTTAAGGTGCAAGTCATTAAAAAAAGGTGCAAGAACTCTCCTAAAGTGAGCAATACGTTCGAGATCCAAATCATTTGATCTTCAGTCTGGAAATAGAAATTGCTTTTGGTAATTCATCATACATTCGAGATCTCTATCAAAATCAGTACATGCATGCTTATAATAACTTGATTAAGAAAGATTACGATCTGACTTGAATCTGGAAGCTTTTACATAATATATGGTGTCATATACGTATTTTAGTTTAAGATGAAATGAGGAATTAATAACGTTGAATATAAGATGAAACGCAGGGGCGGAGCTAGAGTGCCGGGAGCGGGTTCGGTTGAACCCAGTAAATTTGGTTTGAACCCTGTATTTGTCTTAACAAAATCTGTTGAATATATATAAATTATTAATTTAGAACCCAATAACTTAAAATGATTAGAATTTCGAACTCATAAGTTTGAAATCCTAGCTCCGCCTCTGATGAAACGAATGAATATGAAAATTGTAATAGTATAACGTTGTAGAGGTCCTAGTAATCCCTCGTTCTTGATAGCCAGCGGTCGAAACTATTTACTTTTGGTAGCCGCAAATATATATACACTAGTTTTAGAGTATGTGATTGCGTCAATAATAAAAAATTATATTCTTCGCCATATAAATAACTATATATAAAATTAAAGCAATAATTGAGGTAGAATTTAATCAAAAAACGACATAGTAAAATTATGAAATAAATATTAAATATAGTGCCAGAACAAATTGATCCACATTTAAAATAAAATTGGAATTTTAAAAAAAAATAGTTGGAGCTTCCTAAATTTCATTTCGCCTATAGACACTACATTGAGTTTTATAATTCAAATACTCTCATACTATAAGAATTGTCTGATAATTGACAAAAATATATCCTTCTGTTACCCTTGAAAAGTAAAAGAATAAACATTTCTAACTCAAATTTAATCAACTGCATTCCTTAATCAACAAAAAAAAAAGAGTTAATTTAATCCATACTCATCATACATATTGGCAGTACAATGCAATAAAAAATTTCAACTCAAATTTATTCGAAAAGAACTTGTGAATGAAAACTCATAATATAGATAATTTAGAGGAAGAGAAATAATAGAAAAATAGATACATAAAAGAAGAAAGGTCAAGACCGAAAACACAAAAATACCCGGATAATTCAAAATTAACACTACTTAAATACAACCACATACAATAAATAGTGATGATAGAGATTTGGCATTATTTTCTATGAATATGAATCTTTTCTGAAATTAGAACTCTATTAGGAGTTTGTTTTAGTGCCTTCCTTACGTGGGAGATTGGAATATCTAATTGCATTTGAAAAGAAATAGGAGTAACAGAAAGTCACGGTGGAAAACTCATAGCAGATCTCAAAAATCTAAATATTAGTTAATTAAAAAAATAAAAGTATTAATTGTGATTCTTTATTCCGTTTTTAACCTGCGCACTTAATGGAGGGGAGGAGAGGGAGGACTCTTAAAGTAACATTGTTGAAAGATGAACCGATCTGAATGAGTTTGAAATAATGTTGTACCTTGGGCCGGGGCCGGGCCTAAATGGGCCAAACGGGCCGGGCTTAACGGGCATGGGCCTAGCGGTCCCAATCTTTGGCGGTCCCGGGCTTCGTGGGCTCAACGGGTGGAACCGGCCCGTGACGGGCCTAAGCCCATATGGTCCTGGGCTAAACAGGGCGGGCTCGCGGGCCTAACGGGCTTTTTGATTTCCGTTTTTTTAAGGCAATTTCTTGTAAACCATATTATGGCTATATAAATAATATATATGTAATATATATGTAGAAATCTAATTGTTAAAGTGCTTGACGAAAAAGTAATCTTATAGAAANCAGGCCCGCCAGCCGGTCCCGGGCTCGTGGGCTTTTTTACCATACCCGGCCCGCCACGGGCTTTAAGGGACCGTTAGGACCGGCCCACCAGGCCCGTTAGCCCCACTAGGACCGCGGGCCCGGTCCAGTCCGGTTCAGGACCGGCCCACAGTGCAGCATTAGTTTAAACCTACTCATTCTCTTCTTCCGCTTCCTTTTTTTGATTTTTTAATAAGAAAACAAACACTTAATATTTATTTACAATTTTATCCAACATAGAATATTTATACCAACGGTGACGATAGGGCTTTGTAGTTTTAATATAGTATATAGATATAGATAGATATATACATACACAAAAATTATATAAAAAATATACATTTTTTAGCTATTATTTTTATTTTAAGAGCAGCTATGCAATGTCATTTTCCCTTACTTATTGACTGTTTTGCTTTGTGTCTGAGGTATGTGTTTTCAATTACAAAAACAGCCTCTCTATCCTCACAATGTAGGGGTAAGGTCTGCGTACACACTACCCTCCCCACACCGCACGATGCGAGATAAGACTGTTACGGATATAGTAGATATGCCCTAGATCCAATCTCATATTTGATGATTTGAATATATTTTTGTGAACGATATTTGATATAAAAATATGTGGCATTTGATATTCTTTTATCATAGTTATTTTTAATTGTTTGATTAACTTGATAAGGACCTTGATTAAATTTTGAGACTTGTCATCGTAATAGAGATCATGATAATGAGAGCAAAGTATCTTACAATTTAATCTAAATTTGTTCTTGATCGTAGGATTATTAATTTAGACATTAGTAATCCGGTTAGATCAATATTTATGTGATCGTCTTTATGGGATAAAGATTAGTTGATCTCATTAACTAAATTACATAGATAGATGATGCATATAGAGATATGGTCATTGAACCAACTCATTGGATAATTCCTAATGGTTAGAATTACCATAAATTGTCAATGGGATATTCTCTTAAAGAATGTGATGTAAGAATTTCCTTTGACATGAGATCGTCATAGTAATTGACAAGTTATTTATTGTGCTTTGATACTAGACACTTATGGCCCTAGGGCAATAGTTGAAAGGATATTGGGTACGATTAAATACTTGTAGAATTAGTGATTGGTCAAGATGGAATCTGTCAACTCTTGGTAATGAGTTTAAGCTCCATGTTGTCATGAATTATAAATGACCAAACTAAGACCTTGGCCAGGGCAATTGTATGAAAGAAGAAATGAATTTCTTAGGTCATTCGGTGGTCGATTATACTTGACATGAACACATAGTTGGTTGCCTATTATGATTTGACAGATGAACTATATCCTAGGGTGATCTAGAGCTATAAGGACAGAAGGAATTACTACATTATTCTTCTACTGGTTCTTGAGAGTAAATTGTATACTTCATTCTACCCGGTCATTAAGGAGTGTTGCTAGACGCCACCTTTGATTAGTATATCGATTATGATCAATTTACTACCGACTTAGTATTGAACATATGGGGTCGCACACTAACGAGTGTTCTGATCTTTGCTAAAGGATTAGTTACTTTATTATTTGATAATTAAATTAAAGAATTTAATTAGTCAAAAAAAAGTTATTAGTCCAAATGAAATATTATTATATGCTTTGCTAGCACAGAGTATTTGATGCACCGTAAGTCTTAATGATTTAAGTAATTCAAGGTTTTTAAGACTTGAAACGGAGAAATATTTTGAGTAATCATTTATGAACGTCACAAAATACTCAAAATAATCTCTTACATGTATGTTCTTTTAACTATACAAATCAGAAGGGATTCATTATAGCTTATCGCTAACTTTATTTCCTTTTGAAGGGAAACATCCTTTAGTCAAATTTCCTTCCAAACGGGATCCACAACTTGGTAGTTCCTCTACTTTCGATGAACCTTAAGGTCCATCCTTGACCAACTTGAAATCCTATCCAAATTAATATGACTTAGATAAAAGTGCACAGATAAGTTTTACTCAATTTCAAAGAACATATTCTCTTATGAGGTAGACTAATATTGTTCTGTTTAGGAGAGGCATTATATACGATAACAAGGTCATGCATTCATGTACCACAAGAAATAAAATATTTATCAAGCTCAATAACTCAAGAGTTATTCGAAAATAAACTAGATATCCATCTCTTATTTTGCCTAAAGAACCGGAATTAAATTCCTTATAGAAAATGGTACATACATGGCATCCATCAAATTAATGTCTTATCTATACCAAAGGAAATTTTTGACAAGTGATACGATAAACAACATGAAATCATTGTGGAGTTGATATATATAATATTAAATAGATCATAATAAGTCAATTAACATTGAATAATAAAATTTAGACTGCATTCAATATATATACATACATGTATCTCAAATAACAAATTTCGATGGGAAAAGAGTTATTCATGCAAAGTACTTTATATAATGCAAGAATTCTACAATCCAAAAAGAAATAAAACCAACTCAGATGGAGAGCATACTGTTATTTTCAGACAATTGTATATAACCATTTAATACTAAAATTTCAAACACACTACACATATATGTATTTATGCATCTTGAATAGAAAACTTCGATGGAAAGGAAATACTCATGCAACATACATATGTAATGCCATATTATTCACTCAAATAAATTAAAACAGACCCAACTCAGATGGAGAGTATACTGTTAATTTAAGTCAAGTGAACATCATAATTAATAGCTCTAGCTCAATTGATCCAACATGTATACTCAGATGGAGAGTAAGTACATGATATCAATAACTAGTACTTTACTTAGTGAGCTTACAATAAATTTATCCGATATCGAGGAAGACCTAAAGTCGACACATAAATTTACACTCACTTGAAATTAATGGTGGAAGACCATAAAAATATATTTCTGTCATCACTTAATCATGGTTGTACTATAATTACAAAGTTGATTCAACGTGTAAACTCAGATGGAGAGTCAATACATGTTATCAACTACTAGTAGTTATACTCAGTAAGTTCATAATAAATTCATCCGATATGGAGGAAGACCTAAATTCGACACATAAATTTATTATTTTACTATAAATAAATAGTGGAGACCATATGGGTTAATT